AGTCAATCGCATTCTAAATCGAATATTATCCACATTTTAGACTGCTGTGCCATTTCTATTACATTGTGCGCCGAAGAAACTTACTGGAGTCATATTTATCTCATTGGAGTTATTACTCATTTATAATTGTGGATTTTTGGGACCAAAACTCAATGGAACACGCAACAACTAGCTGATTTAAGTAACGTCCCTGAACTTCTATTTTGTATTACTAATTTATAAATTGTTATTGTTATATTAACTTTTGGACGTAATAACGTTATCGCTAATTTTTGGTTATTATACTTTTTGGTCCACCACAGACCTGATCGTAGGATATCAAGAATTCTTGATCCAGTTCAACTTGGTACAATTCTAGTGACGAATTACGTAAGTTGTACACGTGACCATAATTACGACTCAGATGGGCTGCTTGAAGTGTTGAAGGTAAGTCCGATGTTATCCCCCCAACTTTGAAGTCATTTCTGATGATACCGAAATGTCAATTTAAATTCTCATTCGTAAAACGTCTCCCACAAAGTTTCACGTCATCAGCGAAATACAATTAATCAGATGATATTTGGTGACGCAGGTCATTTGTACAAATTAGAAAGTGAAAAGATTCTTGTTCTTAATCACAAAGGTCCGCATCAAGATATTATGTTGCCTTAAAACTCGAAAAATTAATCTTTATCTGAAAATGTCGATTAATGTTTAGATGAAAATGAATTGTTAGATAACATGTGGTCGAGACTGAATTCTTCATTTGTCAGAAAGTTTTTCGCAGATCCATCAGGAAAAAGGTGCTATTGCTTTGCTAATTCTCAGCATTCAGGTTATATGTCCTACGTGTTCTCTAATGATCTCTTGGGTCAAAAATGGTACTACTGTTGATAAATACAAAGCAGATATTTTAAAAATGCACATCACGTAAGGCGAATGTTAGTTTTGCTTAGGCACCCTCCGAGTCAATCTAGTCTGATGTGTCAGTAGACTAACCTTATTACATGTGACTTGCCAAATGTAGAACATCATTATCCTATTGTACTAGTGTGACTCATAACCTTTATTCGTTTCGATAAAACACACGATACTGGTCGGTATGTTCATGAGTTCAACTAAATAACTATAATTTCTTTAATTGTTGTATAAATCAAAATATTTTGGCGTTTAGAAACAAACAAAGTTTGAAGCCAAGTTGTCCGTCTTCTGACTACAGCTTTCACATAAACTCTCTCTCTCCATTATCGCGTTTACAGCTCCATTAAAACATCCGTAGGACAAACTAAATCCTGCAGAGAATAGTTTTCATTCGTACCGTGCGTTAATGTAATAAAACCAAGTTATTCCGAGAATCATATATGGACAGCTTTCATTCTATATGCATGTAAAACGGAATGGTTTAAATCAGTCAACCTCTCTGACGGTATTTCATGGATGTTCATGATTTCTTCCTCTTCTTCGTAATATTTTAGTGACACCTCCAAGTCAGCTGGAAGTCTTTAGTCAACGTTTCTTCATTATTTGCTGACTAAAAGTACACTTTTAGTTTTTGTATTTTCTGACGTTCGATCACAGACTAGACAATCTGCATTTTAGTCAATAAACCTTAACGACTAACGGCTGCTGGTGTCAGGATACAGAGGCTCAAAATTTAAAACATAACACAACACATGGGTTATTCTAGGGAGCAGATAGTCGTAATTATTCGTTCCTATCGAGTAAGGTGTATCGCTCACCTTATTTCTCACACGTCTTTAGCATATTTTCGCCCGACTATAAAGACTGAACCACGCCTTATCAAACTAAGTTGGGTTGTTTGTATTCCTCGCTCTGAATTTATTATTATCGGTCAGGGGCAACGAGTCTATGAAGTAGACCTATCTAAACTCATTCTCGTTTTTTGTATATAATTCCATCTCAAATCAAGTCAGTAATTACATACGAGGGTGGCTGGCATTAATGAATTGTTAGCATCATCTTTTGGCTGAATATGAGCTAGATCAGTGGGCCATAAACAACTGAATATGTCTATAGCGAGTACGTTTATTGGCACTATCCGGATAGCCATAAGGAAATGCGGGATTTAACAATAAGAAACATTAACCTAGCTACTGCTGAAACTGTTGTCACATGTAAACCACTAGTTTGGTTACGAAGTGCTTCACAGACGATAAAGCAAGATCACGACGAGGTACAATCTCTGACAGATTACTCAGTTCAATCATATAACTTGAATGAGTATGATAGTAGCCTCATAAGCAATACTACTAAATTGACTACCGACAATGGGCAACACATAGAATATCCTACTAGTTGCTGCACTACTTAGATAGGAAAATCAACAAGTCAGAATGGGCTCCATTCCTGACACTTGCGATAAATTACTGCATTACCGTATTACTATTTTCATGATTCCAAACAATCAGTGATCTACTGGGACGATGAATTTTAACACAAGTTATAAAATATGATCGATATCGTTGTGACTCTATCACGTGATTTACTCGGCAATTGAAATACGACTTATTCAAACTTAGTACTGTGTTAAATCAATGATGATCGACCTGTATGAACAGACTAGCATCTTTACATGTCCTTTGTTCGCCTAGCCCGTCCACTTGAGTCCAGAATGCCAATAACAGCATCCACTATGCGAATCATTAATTTCAAATATATTTGGATTATATACCGTCCAAACAGACCATATATAAAATAGAAAATAACATTTACACAATAACAAACCAAAAAGTGGCGGTGAACATGGGTGACGGTAATTAGTAAACCGAGTGCAATCTGAGAGTAGAAAATCGTATAATAACAATCTATAGGTCAAAATGGAGCTTATAATAGAGGGAACGTCGGTATACGTAATCTAGTTACTGAATAGTTATACAATAAGAATATATATAATACCTGTTTATTAGTAGATCTTAAAAGTTACCCGTAATTTAATTTTCACTAGGGTATAACAACTAGTGAGCTGCAGAAATGCAAGTCTGTCCAGAATCGTAATTTAAAAGTTGACATCCAACGAGAGGTAGTGAAGAACGCCGATGTATGCGCACTCCAGCACAACCTGAAAGCCTTCTTAGGCTAGTCTTAATTGTGATTATGCTTATTCAGACAGCTTATAGTGACTCACTTATCACGAGAACACCACTGGTTTAATAAAAACAACTATTATTATAACCAACTGTACCAGTGCTTGTTTTAATGTGCTTTTGTTTGACTGTACTAATGACAGCTATATTATGCTTCCATTCTTATTCTTACACTTTGATTGTGACTTCGCGCGAATTCGGTTACGTTCTGTAACCAAGCCTGTATCCTGTCACGATCTCGGTATCCTTTCGATGACACGAGATAGCCAGCGAATATATCTCGATTTGGTCCATTAATTGCCCTCTGATATTTGGCTTCTCGGGGATTTTATGGAGTCATTTGGCATGCGTTTCTTGGTAGCGGTGTTCATAGTCAATCTCCACTCGACACCACGCTACAAGCTAATCGTCTGCAACGTTTCGGAAGTACAAGTCTCAACATGTATAAGATACCGATTACATTAAATACTTATCAACAGTTTATATATATATATATATATATATATATATATATATATATATATATATATATATATATATATATATATATATATATATATATATATGCGCAGCACCATTTAGGTCCATGTCATGTCACTTTGTACTGAACCCAATCTCTAAAGGTCTAATCAGACCTACTGTAAAACGTAGAGAGCAAACCAGTTTTGGGATTCTCTGGTTTACCGTGCTTAGGAGGATTTGACAGTGTAGGTCTTTTTCGTTGATTAAATTATGCGGTACAGGATACGGAGGACTGAGTAAGGACTTCACGTATCCTCTTTTCCATCTTAAAATAGATTATGGTAACTCAAAAGACATGACAGTTGAGCTTAAATGAGAAAGAGCAAATCTACCCACTGGGAGTCCAGTACAGGAGGAAGCAATGTCCGCATCTTCTGTTGACTTATTTAGGAAGTATCATACACCAAACAAAACTTAATAGGAATGAACCAATAAAATGCCTCGACCCTTAAGAGACTGACCTGAGAAACCACATATCGTTGAAATTAGCTATATTGAACTCCAAAAGGAATGACCCATATCATTAGTTAGAACTGTACATTTGACCGCCTATTAAGACGAAGCGAGATCTACTAAACAATGCCTACCGAACACATCAATCTACACTTGAGACTGCACAGGCTTCAGTGTAAATTTGAAAAACAGACGGCCGTATGCTTCGGCACGTCATATCTAGTTGACTTAAACATTCACCAGTAATTCAGAACAAGTCTTACTGCATCCTAACTATCTAGACTTCTGTGAGGTACCTGACTTACATTTCATTAAACCTACCTTATACTCGATATAACTTGCAGCAAAGTTATGCATCACGCCAATTCTGCATACAAATTGAAAATACTCAATAGTCCTACCCTTTGCCTTTGGAATACCTTTTCGAAATAACTGACCACCTAGTCCTGTCGAGTCTAAGAAACCTCTGAACTGTTTTCGAGCAAATCAAGGGAACAAGAGGTAGTAGCTTATGCTCTTTAAAGTCCTCCAAATACCACATTTGTCTGCTGTTTATTACTGGTTGAATCTTATCATGCGAGATTTAATTTACCAATAGACTTCAGGGACTCGATATCGTCTAAACTGTTGAAGTTAGGTAGCAAGATGCAGTATGGTTGAAACTTAGGGTTTCACGCTAGCCGGTACTTAGTAACCACTAGTACCTGATACCTTCAGGGAATCGATGCCTTTTTGGGATGGCGAATTCGACCTCCAGAATAGTGTACGGATAAATCATTCTTCTCAAACTACTACGAAGAATTCACCCATAGAGTTCCCTAGTTTCTCAAGCGATTGATATAAATTTGTGACAAAAACAATTCAAAACTGGTTACGCCTCACACGAACCTTTCATGACTTATTTGATCTAATCGTTTTTATAAAGCAGTTAGAACAACAGAGTTAGGAATAAAATAATAATTTTCATATGTATATTTTGTTTCAAATAGGTTAAGGTGATGAAATATGATTTTGTGGGGATAAGAACATCACACTATAATATCATTCTTCATATTCATCTTTTATTGACTTCTCACATTAGAAAAAAACATATCTGAGATGGTTACAGAACTAATTGCACAAATTTGAAGGATGTGTAGAAGAGTGATAGAGTAAAAAATCTTAAACTATTGACTCTCAACCAAACTGATCAATGTATGCGAGAGAAAACAACAACAACAAACAATAGAAGTCAGTATGCTGGATGGGCAATGACTATTTGTTGTTGTTGACTGTTGTGGCTAATTATTTTATCATTCTTTTAGTTGAGAGTGAGACGAAGGATGAATCATTGTATCTCCCGTCGGTGGTAGTGGTTGTTGTCTTGATTGATTTTTCACTCCTGAATGTGAAATATATGAGGAAGAGGAGGCTGAGGCAGCGGTGGAAGCTAAAGATGGGTCAAAAAATGATTGGAAATGTGGAGTGGTTCGCCAAATTTCTATTAAGTTTATTTTTCAGTAAACCGGAAGAGTTATTCAGAAAAGGAAGGAGATAGAGAAAATAGTCAAAAGTGCACGCAATTGTAAAATATTTCACATTTTTAATCACATCTTTATAATGTTAAAAGTTTATTGATAGACCTATACATTAATAAGCTGCATCATAACATAAAGGTCGATAACCAACTAATCTTGAACGAAATAAAAATGTAATTCAAATGACTGAAACCAGTCATTGAAGCCAGCAACAATCATAAGTTGCACGCATCATAATTAACTGATAAGCTGACAATTGTGATGCCCAATTAAATACACATTAATGATAAATTTGAACAATTTTTAACCTCTAGTGAGGTAAAAAGGAAATAACGATATTTTTCAATAATAACACACTTTTATTGTATCTTTGGTTGAAATATGAACATATTCGTCTGCAAACATGTCTCTTATTTATTTTAATTACAATGTCAACTGAAATTTTAGTTACGTTACATATTCAAAATATCATATGTTTTTAGTGACAAGTATCACATTACTTGAATTGCGCCTGGAGCCGCTCTGGGGCTATTGCTGGTCCTAAGCCTGAATAAAGGAGGAGGGTTGGGTATGGAGTCAGTGACACCATTCCGCGGAAAAATAACTCGCTAAAAAACGCTAATTAGAAACCACATTATTTGAAATCGTCGGTTTCCTTACATACTCACACATGAGACGAACAAATAAGATTTGAGAGAGCTAGTGTAGAATTTTGGTGTGAAACTTATTTAACTATACGATATAGTAGCATTTCGGCATTAGACTTGTTGTCAGTTCATAGTGAAATCCGTAACTTTAAATGTTGACACTAATCTACAAACCCCTTTTGATTCTAAGTGAATATTTTCAAAATCATTTTGGCATGACTCAAAGGTTATCCATAAATTATAGCCACACCTATTCACTTTTGTTGTTGACAATAAAAAAAACACTTTGTTTTTTAAGATATGATAGCCGTTTTAAGAAAGTTTAAGACTTGATTGATTGTACAACTGAAAGTATTTCAAGTAAAAAAGCAATCAACTGCCTTTACCCAATATTTATATTCCCAGGTATTCATTAAACTATCAATTGGGGTTTTCGATCAGACAAATTACTAGCTCCTTGTCTTAAAGCTTACATGTGTTACTATCGCTATCAAGGTCAAAGATTAACTCATTGATATACATACTGGCCCTTAGTTGAGATAATGAGTCTAGACCACCATGGAAAACTTCGAAGAACTGGACGGCTGTTTCGTCCTATTGTGGGACTCCTCAGAAGTGTGTATTATGTATTATAAAAAATATTTCTGTCATAAAGGAGGAAAGTTAATGACGATATAATATGAATAAACGCTATTTGCATCCCCAGATAATTGACTGCATATAGCAAATCACAGCATATTAATTTCCCTAGTAGCATAATGTTATTAAATACAGAGATTCCATCTTAAGGATTTAATTTTGTAGTTACAGTGAAATACAATTACATATTACATTACTAAATGGGTAAGCGTAATGAGAATAGAAAATACTAGATTATTACAACTAAAAATCAATCAAATGAATTCATTTGACTGGTTAATACCAATTATCCATCATATTACACTGAAATAACTTGACAGCCGAGAAGTTATTCATCTGTCTATTTAATTTTTTGATAAGTATGAGTCCTATTCTACTCATTTATTGGCAGTGATGCATGTAAGAATGTAACTTTGAATGGAGATTTCATTTCAATCCTTAACTTTAACTAAATTATATTGTTTAACTGGTGGTATGTTAGGTATGTGCTGGATTGATGGGTTCACAACAGATAGAAGTGAATAACTTTATGTACTTAAAATGAAATCTCTAATGAAAATTACACTTTTACATGCAACACTCATTTATTAAACAGATATAAAACTGATAGAAGATACTCAGCAACGAATTATCATTAGTTGAACGTTTAAAAAAAAAGACGGATAAACTTATGTCTAATCACTAGTGGTAATTAACAAATCATCTTTCATTCTTATTCTTTAGAATAATAATGAAGAACTATACTGTAAAGATGATCTTCAGGGAACTAATTAGAAATAAGAAAGAGCTTCTTCCATTTTGAGTAAAATTTAAACAACAATGAAGGATAGATTATCGTTTCACATTAGGGCTAAGTAAAAACTGTCTATATCTAGTTCTCAATGTGTCTAATTACACAATGATTAGTCTACTTTAATTTCAACTCCTAACTCCAAAACCTTTAAGCCCATGTAACTCTAGCTAATAATCTTAACACTGTTAATCTTAATACATGACCCTAATCTGTTTTCAACTATTATAATTAACAATTTATTGATCATACTGAAACCAATTGTTTATTTTTAATTGAATTACTCCTTAATGTAAATTTGTATATAAATAAACACTAATTTCTTCTGATTTGTCAATACATTCCTAAAAGTCGTCGAGATATTATCCTACCTTTTGTCGACTAATCTAACCATTAAGAATATTTATTAAATTATCTGATGTGGATGATATTTCCATTATTCGTTGGAACAATATCATCAGAACCTAACTTAAAAAGATAATAAAATCTCCACATGTAAATCATCTAGCTCAGAGGATACAAATGTTGTTAAAGTACAAAGAATATATATATTTCAATAGTTGAGATCATGAGTCAATTGAAGCTAGACCACCATGGAAAACCTGGAAGCACTGGACTGCAATTCGTCCTATTGTGGGACTCCTCAGAAGTGTGCACCCACGACTCCGCCTCGTGTGATTCGAACCCAGGACCTATCAAATGGGTTAGTTATAAGATAGTAACTCACTGATGACAATGGTGGATGTATCGCTCAATTTCGTGAGTTAGTTGAAGTTGCACATTGACACCGATGGATGCTGGCAGGCTCAGTGATCTAATGCTTAAGCGCTCACACGCGAGACTGATAGGTCCTGAGTTCGAATCTGGCGAGGCGGGATCGTGGATGCGTACTACTGAGGAGTCTCACAATAGGACGAAACGGCCGTCCAGTGCTTCCACGTTTACCATGGTAGTCTAGCTTCAATTTAGTCATGGTCTCAACTATTGAAATTGCTACAATCTCCAAAATACCCCTTCTGAATATATATATATTCACAGTAGGATCATCAATAAAGTAAGCAATTAACTAACCAAACAATGGTAGCATTTACTAATACTATACAACACATTATTTAATATAATTTGTAGATATCTCAATAAAAGCAAAGCTTACGTTCAAGTAAATCTGTAGATGAGATCTGATTATTTTTCACTGTAGAATCTATAAAACAAAGAAGAAGCATAGAAATAACATTTTATTAATAGTTCAACTGGATTTGATTTAATTACATAAATCAGTATGGGGATTTGTAGAGATTGTAGTATATTGCCATTTAAATTCATGAGTTGATCATCATTGAAAATCTGGAAGCACTAGTCTAGAGGTTAAGCGTTCGCATGCCAAACCAAAGGTCCTGGATTCAAGTGGATTTGGTGCAGGACCGTAGATGAGCACTACTGTAGAGTCCCATACTAGGATGAAACGACCGTCCAATGCTTTCAGGTTTTGAATGGCGATCTAGCTTAGATCGACTCACGAAAATAAATCACTTCATTGATGATAAATATACCTGAATTGCAAAGTTCTCATAGTCATTCTAGACAATTTTATCAACATTTATTTCATCTACAATCAAGTTTTTCTAATTATTACAAAAGTGTGAAATTAGTTTGATTTCATGGTTCTATCTAGTTGTCTACGTAGGTTGCATTTCATTTGTTTGTATTCAAGCTGATTATTTATTTTCGGTTCCCCTTTGACTATGTGGTTGATTAGAATTTTACACATAGGCTGACAGAGTAGAACTACATTGTATCATCGATGGATTGTTAATCGATTTGAATCAAAGTACAAAGTTTGTTAAGACAACAGTAGGATCAGAGAGAAATGTTCATTAGTTAGAGGTCGTTCGAACAAGACAACCAACTTGAACTAAGAAATAACCATCTACGTAGATTATGTGTTGATAATGTTATCCCCGGAATGAAACTGAATATTCTATAATTCAACTATTTAACTCAGAAAACTCAATAATACCAAAAGTATGCACATGAAACTAATATATCTTCTGCCTCATAATGTTCCGTATTACAATATTTTTAACGCACAATAGTAAGTACATTAGAATAGGACATATTTTACAATTAACTAGATAACAAAAATCCAAATGTCCAAAAAGAACTAGAATGTTCAAAGAATTATTATTATTAATATCAGAGAGGGGTTTTTGTGAATATTGTATTAGAAAAACATATATAAGCGAACAATATTGTTTTCGATTAGATCCTCATCAGGCTTTACTCTATAATCGAAAACAATATTGTTCGCTTATATATGTTGTTCTAAATTTACAATATGGGAATATTTCAAATATTGTATTAATTTAATAGTTGGGATCATGAGTCGATTGAAGCTAAACCACCATAAAATACGTGGAAAGTCTTTTCAACCTATTGTGGGACTCCTGAGCAGTGTGTATTCACAATCCCGCCCTATGGGACTCGAACCCAGGACCTAATGGCCTCGCATGAACGCCTAACTCGCGAGCGGGATCGTGGATGCGCACTGCTAAGGAGTCTCACAATAAGACAAAACGGTCGTCCAGTGCTTCCAGGTTTTCTGTGGTGGTCTAGATTCAGTTGACTCATGATCTCAACTATTAAATTATTATCAAATAAGTTAAGAACGATCTTAACTACAAGTAGAAACACAAATGTATTTCATTTGAATACAAATTTAAAATTAGGCAAGATAACAATAAAAAATCAACCGATGAATGATGACAGTTTTAGTGATAAATATGCTGATACACTGTTAGGATAGTTTTAATATTTTCTGTGCTACTAACCACAATGTATATGATAAGTATGAGTTATTCATTTTCTTAAAAGTATGATATATTACCTTATGACTGTTTAACATTAATGATTATTTACATAAAAATAATTAATGAATTAATTAAAAGCCTATTGATCATTTCAATCTGATTACAACTGGTAAGTTAATATTTGATGAAATCTTCTTACAGAACTTTTAAAAATATAGTGAGATAAGAAACATGACAATTCAATGGATTAGATCCAATGTGGAAATATGTAAAGCTGATGGATAACACATCTCGAAACACCTCTCAGAAAAGAAGAAAAAACTGATTAAGTTAAAAGAAATAATAATGATAATTGAATTTGCTAACTATTACTTTAACAAGTTTAAATTGATGAAAATGGAAGATTTGAGATAATATGGATTTGAAGAACAAAAACAAACGTAAGTGATTGTAGTTAGTCAGCTACAATGTAGGACCAGGCACAAATATGCATCGGTCCAAGTTGTCACACTTCATTAGCACAACAAGATAAACATCGAATTCATAGTAGTTAATTCAATGGTGGTATTATATAAAAGAAAGATTGAATATAAAGACGTAGTACAGGAAGAAAGAATTAGTTGGCAAAAAGATATAAAGCAATTTTAATCTCATAGTTTAAGCGAGGATGGAGAGTGTACACACCAACGCCATTGTGATTGATTCTGAGCCATTTTAAACAGTCTCTAACCACTGGTTACGATAGTCACACGGACCCGCACCAAGTAGTCTTAACCTACCAACATGGCTAAGACTAGAAGTTAGTGACTTTAAATACTGATGCCACATTTTGGTTTGGCCGCCCCCAACACCAGTTAGCATTGCACGTCGTGGTAATCGGTGTTCAGGCAAACGTAACACGTGACCCAAACATCTCAGTCAATGAAGATCTACAACCTCATCAACTGATTTACCATCATTCCCTAATACCCTGCCGTCTAACCTCACTATTACTTACTCGGTGATCCCGGCAGATGCGAGTCACATTTCCACAGAATCATGGGGCCCAAGTGACCATTGATTTGTGTGAGCGGGACAGAAATTGGATTAAAGTATGTTCCATGCACGATTGCGTTGGTGCACGCTGATTGGCTAATTCTTAACCAACCACCGCTAGTCGATACTTGGAGAAGACTCTAGAATCTTTTCATGCAAAAACTATAAATATACTAACATTTTTCTTATTGTTACTCTTATTTCGATCTGCCCTTGTTATTTGAAATATAATTTATTTCCTGTTCAACCGTGTTCTGATCTGGGGCCTTATCGAGTGAATTAGTGTTCAGGAATACTAAGCAATAGGAATAGCTGGGTTGTAATAAGAGAGAATTATAACAGTATGGAATCATGTTTCTCCAACTGCCTAGGTGAATCCTCTGGACTCGCCAACACGGTTTAAGCATCAGGTGTGCCTTTATCGCCCCCTAAATTTCGTAAAAAGCACCTACCACGAAAAGGCGATAAATATTACCTCTCTGATTGTGGTTATATACGCGTGGCTGCATAAGAACATTTGAAGAGGAAGAATGGACTCTCCCCACTCTCGGTCATAACGAATATTTTTTAATGAATTACCTTCCCCTATAAAAAATTAAGGTGAATATGTATATTTGGAAACTTAGTAAGTTTTCCAAGAAAAAGCTCTACGGGTCTTCCAAAATAACCAGGAATCAATAAGCAATCTACGTGATATGTGTTTCATGTAAGCAAGAGACAGTAAAAATGGCTAAAATAGTGATATTTTAACAATAATTTTATTAGCACAATAGGGTTTAAGAAGATCGTTGGACCTTGTAGTTTACATGATGGACTAACTGAAGCCATACACTTACTAAAAGCCAGGAAGCACCGCACTGAACAGGTGTTACGTCGCAGCATGTGGCTCACCAGCAGTGTGCGTCCTCGACCAAGACCTCAAATTAAAGACTAAATGAGTTGGCATCCGATGTTTAACATTCCTATTCAATACATGACACGACCATCATCAAGTATCAGTGGTGGGTAAATGTTTCTTTCTAATAATGATTGAACTCCACTGAGTTCAATCTCTAGTGGGATCGTGAGTAAGAACTTTTGGGGAATGCCATCAGTCAGTAGCAACGTAGAACTTCGTACGTACGTACATCAGTTCGAGTTGCCACACCATATTAGCACAGAGATGCAGTGGTCGATTCAAATCCCGTAGTGCTAGATGTAGTAAAATTATAAGCTGTAGTCAGAAAAATTAGGGTTTGAAGATGTTATTCAAGGAGTATAATCCAGTGAAATAGATTTGGAAAGAAAATAAAGGACATGAGGAATTCAGAAGATTAGAATTTGGGAGGACACAAATATTTGATGCACCTGCGTCATTGCAAACGATTTGGAGCCAATGTCATTCAAGGTCTCTAACCATCGGTTGCTATCATCTCGCGGATCCCAACCAGGTAGTCTACACCTACCAACATGGCTCAGTCCACTTGTCAATGACTTCATGGATTTGTGCACGTCGGGGCATTCGGTGGTTGGGCATACGTAACACATGTCCCAGCCATCTAAACTGATGAAGTTTCACTACTTCATCAATTGATTTGTCATCCTTACCTAGTACCTGTTTCCTAACAACTGAGTTACATACTTGATAGTCCCAAGATATACGAGCAATGTTTCGAAGACAAGTATGATCGAATACTAGTAACCTACAGATATCCTCTACTCTTACGGGCCATGTTTCACTGCCATAAAGTAGGACGGAACGAACTGCTACACAGAAAACACGTCCTTTGGTTGATAGACGGATATCTCGCCTACGCCATAAATGATGCAAGTTGGCAAAAGTTAGTCGAGCCTTCTGTATCCGTGCTGAGATTTCGTCACATACCAGACCACAAAGGTTGATGAGACTTCTAAGATAAGTGAAGCGATCGACACGCTCAATTACTTCACTCCCTATCATTAGTTCGGGTGTCAATGCAACCCAATCCTGAAGCAACATTTTGTATTTCGAGGGGGGAGAATCGCATCCCGAACATGTTTGTATTGTTGCCTAGAATGGTCAGAAGATTCTGCATTTTGTCAGCGTCTTCGCCAAATAAAACTATGTCATCAGCATATTCCAAGTCAACAAGTGAATCTCCCGGTAGAAGTTCAACTCCTTGGAAATCTAGACGAGGAAAGTGTTATCTCTAAAAGCACGTCGACGACAAAGTTGAACAAGAACGGAGAGAGAGGACAGCCCTGACGAACACCGCTTGAGGTAATCAATTCTGATGACAGTTCGCCATAAGCTCTCACTCTACCAGTTGTGTTCGAGTAGAGAACCTGTATAAGGTTAATGTACTTCTTTGGTACTCCTTTCAGTGACGAACACTGCCATAGAACCTCACGATCAACAGAGTCGAATGCCGCCTTAAGGTCGAGAAATACTACGATTGTGGGGCGTCTGAACGTGTGTCTGTTTTCTAGAACCTGACGTAGTGTGAATATCTGGTCTATACAACCACGTCCAGGTCGAAAACCAGACTGATTTTCTCTAGTCTGCTCTTCATGAGCTTTGGTTTGGCGTCGAAGTATTATTGAAGCTAATATTTTAGACACTATATTAGTCAAACTGATTCCTCTGTGATTGTCACAAGAGGACTTTTGTCCTTTCTTAAAAACTGGCACAATCAGTGATTGAGACCAGTCAGATGGGATTACGTCCAGTTCCCAGATTCTACCTAAGACCCCAGTTAATCTCACTGCTAATACTGGACCACCATCCTTAAAAATCTCAGGAGTAAACCTGTCAGGCCCTGCTGCTCTCCCTCGCTTCAGATTCCCTATAGCTTTTCCAACCTCGTAAAGAGTTGGAGGACTTACATCAACTTGCCATTCAGGTCCACTGGGGATCGTGGGAAACCGAAGTGTGGTTGAAGGTCAGTTAGACTGATCCCTAAATTGTTCTGCCCATCGATCCAATCTCCTGGATTGAGAGTTTATAATATGTCCATCTTTCTCTGAGATAGTTTCGCTAACAGTTGGGTTCCTAATTCCGGTTTCCTTAACAAGTCTGAGCAGTTGTCTGCTGTTACCTATTGTTGCTGCCTTTTCTATCTCTCTTGCTTTCGCTACCCACCACTGTTCATAATCATGGCGTAGGCTTCTTGTCAGCTTGCGCTTAAGCTGACTCCACTCTTCGTTATGTTCAGAGCCAGATGGAATGAGTTTTCAAGCCATGCTTAGACGAAACATCTATTGAGTGCTTCTTGGTTTTGAATGGTCAGTTAGCTATAGTCTATTTGTGATTTAAACTACAAAACAGTCATTTCAATAAGTAATTGAAACTATAATGCAACAATGCATGTATTAATTTACTTGAAGATGATAACCGACTGGATAAAATGGCGGGATCGTCGAGTTGCCATGTAAATGAGGAAGCTTGAAAAAGAAAAAAAGATTATGTATATAATTAAAGTTACGTAATGAGACAATCGACATAATTCAAATTCAGTGTTATAGTATTAGCAAGATAATAAAAGTGCCTTCTCTAGTTAAAAACAAAAAATACATTCGCAGCATGGATATATAAACAGGCTTGATTGATATGTTAATACTTCAAGATTCTATATAATTCATTAAGTTTGGATACTTTCTCCATTGATAGCAATATAAAATAGGTAAAACAAAATTGTAATATCGGTATCCGAAAGTTTGGTAATATTAAGTTCTTTGAGCTAATAAACTGATTGAGAAGCTTTAATTATCGTTCCGCACAACAGTATAATGATAAACGCTTTGCAATCAAACCATTTTGGTTTAAAGAATGCAACATCATCAAAGGTACTCATTTGAAGTATAAATCATCGCCATCAGTATCCTAAATATTACAACAGATGAAAATTAACAATAAACAAAAGTATGTCGATCTGCTTCTCTTTTTGTTTTATTATTTATGATCCGGTAAATATTTGATACAAAAAAGGCATCAATAATGTGTCACATTTGGTATACAGTTTATAACATTACACTCTCATATCTAGAGTATATCACAATGTTTTCACAAAGATTCAATATTTCAATGAATCTAACCAACAAAGACATGGATTAACCGTTAGGGAGAGGCCTTTCCACAGATGAGAAAAGTAGATTTAGGCGCTATTCGTTATTGTACAAATTCTGAGACCTAAGTGGATTACTTCTAGTTCAGAAGCAGGATTTATCAACTCCATTAAAATGGAACGTTCATATATACCGAATTCGTCTAACCAATGGATAATTCTAGAAAATAAACTGATCAAGGACGAAGTAACATTCATACAAAACAAATTAAATGATTATTAAAGCTATAAGAGTAGTGAATATTCATAATCCCGTACTTGAAGTCTGGGGAAAAAAACATTTAACAATAAAAGAAATTATGAAATTGTATAATTATCAATTTCCTTGGCCAATATACACTAATCAGTAAATAAATATGAAAACAGAAGTTATTTGATAAACAACCGAATACAACCTGTAAATTATGAAAATCAGTAAGAGATTGTAGTGATTAAATAGTTAAATTCATAAGTCCATATAAGCTAGATCACCATTGAAAACCTAGAAGTATTGATTGGCCGTTTCGTCTTAGTATGGGACTCTTCAGTGGGATCATAGATGCAAACTAATGAGGTATTCAGTATTAAGATGAAACGGCCATTCAGTGCTTGCAAATTTTCAATGGTGATCTAACTTACATTGACTCACGAATTCAACGAATAAATTTTACACTTATCTAATTTTGACTTCTTGTAAATTCTAACTCTCATTTGTCTTATTTTATAATAACTGTAATAAATTACAATGATTTAATCAAAATAAGAGATTAGATTAAAAATGAGGTTATAGGGTTAGATCTTAAAAAAGCATTCATACAGACATTATTATGATAACTAATAATTTTTTTAAAATAAAGACGGAAAACGATGGGAATATTATTTATGGACAACCTTTGAGTGTCGCTAGACTGACCATCAGAATGTACACCTAATAAACAGAACCAAAAGAGGGTTCTAAACCTGTGTAAAAAAATTAAAATTATGATTTACATTTGATGGTTCAAGTTACAAATTTGATTTAGGGTTTTCATCATGAACTGACATCAGCTATAATGCTAAAATTTCATTTAGCCAAATGGATGAGTGAATTTCGAGCCCAAATCCGAGACCTATTAACTTATACCTGATTGGTTCGTTCACAAATTATAGTTTCACCAGGAAAACTTAATCAATATATACAAAAGAAATTAAAGATAAGTACTAATGTGAAGATCAAATTAGGAAAGATGAACTATGAAATTAGCTTTTGAGAGAAAGATATAAAATAATAAAAGTATCACACCTTATAGCTTATAGAATTCTTTAAAAATTTAGCTAAAATACTTATCATAGATCAAAGCATTAATTAAAATGATTGATTAGTATGATATTTATCTATGAAAGTCTATCTTCTATGTTTATTAAATCTACTTGATCTAACAATAAATCTCTAAACATTAAACGTCACATTTATAGTTACTTTTTTAGACGTAAAAATAAACCTTAAACAGAGTCAATCAGTCAGTAACAACATAGAAATTTGTACATACGTACATCAATTCAAGTTGCCATACCACATTAGCACAGAATCTTAAACAGAACTTCTAGTAATAAATATAACAAGGAACTTTTTGTCTAGCTACTAACCCATCCCCATCAACTACTCCTGAATGAAAAGATAAGTATTTTTACTTGCTTTAACCGACAATGATAATTTTCTATTGTAACCATGAATCTCATAACTTCTGATAATAAACGATACTCTTAGATTTTGACAATTAATATATATATATATATATATATATATATATATATATATATATATATATATATATAGTTTACTTTCTTAGTTGAATCAATGCTACACTGTAAAATAGAAACAAGACAAAAAAATACTAAATGTGCGCCAAAATTAATTACCTGAATTAGTTGAAGTAGGATGGGAATCCATATCGGTTAGGCCTGTGTTGCAGCAGAAACTACTATTATTAGTATTAGTATTATTATTCTGAAAAGAAAAGCCGGAGCAGATTCTATAAGCAATTAACACTGAATATATCAATAGAATTATTAAACTGCAAGAAACTCATTAACATAACTCACTAACATTACACTGACTTTAATCAGTGCAAATGTACAACATTTTGAAATTGTCTTATAATATAACAATCTATTATATAAGAAGTGGAAATTCAGTAGTTAATAAACGAATCAGATGATAAATCATCTGTATATAGTTGAGATTAATGCGTTAGTATATGTAATCCAACTATTAATCATCTACCTTTAGCAAAAAAAAGACAAAAAATCAAAACTAATTTCAGTTAGAGATGTAAAGCATTGAACACTGATCTGGTGGTTTTTAAAGTAAAGTGCACACTAAGAAACGTCAGGGTCCTACATTGGATCCCTGGCAACGTCATATGTACACACCGCTGAAGAGTATCATACTAGGATGAAGCAGCTGTCTGGTGCTTCCTAGTTTTCAATGGTATTCTAGTTTATGACGAATGTGTTCTATGAACATGAATTTAAAGAACGGGATGAAAGAGAAAAAATAATGACACAAAAACCTACTTATAACTTTTCTTGCTGTTGTGATGTGAAACTAGACTTTCTCTAAAGTTCCAAATTAAATTTGTCTGTTCATTAAACTACAACAAGCAATTAACACAATCATATCTCATCTTTCGAAAATCTGAGGTTAAAATATTATTAGGAATTTTCCTACTCCTAGAACGACCAACACTAAAATCCATTCACTGGCCTTCCAAAACACTGTGTAAATTCGCTACGAATCATTCAACACAAAATGCAACAATGCCATCCGTACATAAAAAAAATATTTGTTGGTCTTTTACTACTACAGGGTAATAAAATGCTTTAACAAATAACAAAAATGAATACAAAAGTGTCATTTAACTACCTGACAATAATTAGTACTAATGTTGAATGAGAGTAAGAGAATAACCTCATGTAAGTACAATTACTAGTCAGTTATAAATCATACATTGTTGTGTACAGGTTTAGGCAATCATACTTGAACGATAAAATATTGAGAGACATAAGTTTAAGCTATTAAGTCATAACCGGTTCAGTACAACCGATGGGAGCTCCGACACATAGACTACTTTCTATGCAACACTTATCAATAAGACCTAGATAGTTATATCAAAACTGATGAGATTAGAATAGACATTACCCAGTTTTACAGGGATGTTTGCACTGAACTATTTTAAATGTTATCGCCTTTGTGTAGAACTGAGATTATTACATTACGAAACACTAACTAACATCTAGTTTTTTTATTTGTTTAGGTAACTTGATATTGACCAACATTTTACTTGATAACTATTTTTGAAGCCAAATTTCAGAATAGGTGAAATATATACAACTCATTCTTCAAAATTCCGACTATGAAATGACAGGGTGATACTTCACACCATCACTTTTATTTTGAACATCCTAGTAACCTTAACATACGGAAAATATATATATGATTTATAGTCGAGTGCACAAATTCAGAATAGGTTATTGAGTTGCACTAATTTAGAATGATGATGGAGTTGTGCGAAATCGTAGACTGATTGGAGTTAAACATTAGTACTTTTGGACGCCAGTGGGCTCAGTGGTCTAGAAGTAAGAATTCATACGCGGAACCGAAGGTCTTGGGTTTAATTTCAGAGTGAGGGGTCGTGCTTCCACATTTTCAATGTTGGTCTAGCTAAGATCAGTTCGTGATTTCAGCTGTCAAAATATTTTGTTGGACAAAACCCGTAGTAATATTTCTAGGACAATGTGCATTTTACAATCATGCTTTAATAGTTAAAAGATAATTTTCAGATGTGCTGAAATGGATGGTGGTTCAAAGACAACGGACACTCAAATAAAACAATGTAACTTAAAAGCTGATCATATAAATTTATATTTAGTGGATGAGTTACGATTGGAAGTAATGATTATTTATTTATTTAAAAATAGCCCAAATCATAAGGAAAGGTGTCTAAATATTATCAAAAAATTCATCCGTCTACGAAGTTGGACCGAATGTTGTACATATCAGCTATGAAGAATGAAAATTAAACATAGTCAAAGTAGAAGTTTGATATGAGAATTCAAATTTGTAAAGTGATAATTTGAATGACAAAAATCTTCATTAAGATTTAGTATAAATTCTAAAAAAATTATTAGCATAAGAGGTTTGTGGAAGTTGTTGAGCTTTATAGTTAACATCATGAACGGACCTTAGTTAGACAACCATTCAAAATCATAGGGGACTTGCTGGCAGTTTCTCTCTAGTACGTGACTTACTCATTGACTATGACCATACACGATCCGACTGTAGATCGAACGTAGGCTTTCAGTAGTTTGACTGTTGAACACTCGTTACGAGACCTGATGCTCCTGAGTCTAATTCCCGAAGGGGTCGAGAATAAGCGCTCTCGAGCAATCCCATACTAGGGCGAAACATTTATCCAGCCTTCCCTGATTTTCTAACTAAGATCAGTCTGTGATATAAACTATAAGTTTTTTTATTATACTAAAACAAATATCCGGAAATTCTCTTTGAAAATAATTAATTGAAAATATCTTCAGAACCGAAATTGACAGACACAAAAAGAGTGCAGCATACAACATATTATTTGAACAAGGTTTTTTTTCACTGCATTTGGATTGACCGTATGGTTTGAGATCATGAAAGTTCTCTCATAAAATTGTGCGTTTACAGCTTATGTAATAGAATTTCTACTCGTTTTATGAAGATGAGAATGAAAAGCGAACGTCCAGAGTTTAAATTAGGATGTTGGATACAGAAGCTTTACTTAGTGTGTGTGTGTGTATGTGAGGGGGGTGACTTCAAACGTTCCACATTAATTAAAAATACTAATCTCAAACTCTTTTAGCCTAACCCGTAACTGATAGAAAAACAAAAACCTGTTTCGAAAGTCCAATGAGTAATTTCAACAAATAGATCAATGTTTTACAATTCACACAACAAACTAGACTTAATAGGGAGGATAATCGCCAAAAATAATCCAAACTACAAACATACATACACACACACACACTTTGGTAAACTCAACGAAGTATTGAAATTACCAATGACTAACATAGATATTCACTGTTTAAAAAAATATATCTCTATATATAAATGAAACAACATTTTAAAGCAAATCACACCAAAAAAAATTTTTAAAAGAAAAACCAAACAAGAAAAAAAAGAGGACACTTACTACACATAGAGTAGATAGTAATTTTGTTTTTTTTTATTCCGAACAAGAGAAAATAATAATAACAATAGAAAGAAATCAGTGACAGTATCATAATTTGTTTACAAGTTAATAATAATAATAATAATAATAATAATAATAATAATAATAATAATGACAATATTAATAATACAACTATATCAGAATGAGTTTTGTGGAGATTTTTAGAAATTTCACTGGTTGAAATTATGAGTCTTCAGGAGACACTCCTGGAGTTTTAATGAGAAGTTGTTACCAGTGGAGTTCAACCAAGTCTGTTGTAAGATACGAACTCACTAAAGACAATGGTATATGGTGGTGCAACTTCGTGGATTGGTTGAAGTTAGACATTAACACCGTTGGATGCCGACAGGTTGTGGTCTAGTTGGTTAAGCGCCTGGCGCGAGACTGATAGGGTTCGAATCTCGCGGCGGGCGGGATCGTGGATGCGCACTGCTGAGTCCCATACTAGGACGAAACGGCCGTCCAGTGCTTCCGGGTTTTCCATGGTGGTCTAACTTCGATCGACTAATGATTTCAACCAGTGAAATACAACTATAATTAATTGTGGTAGTACAGAATCAATAAACTGGAACAAAATGAAAACTACCAATCATAAATACATTTTTTTCTAAACAAAATGTGGGAAACATTAGTAGTATACTAAAGTGTTTTGTTGGACAGTCATCATCTGATAAGAGAGAGAGATCACTTTTATCCAAGTTATACAAATAGTAAGAATAGCAACCAGTATGATTTGTTATCGTTTTTACTCATAATGTTTATACAGTCTATAGCACATGTAAAAACTGAATATTCTTTAGAAGAAATACAACTTAGATTATCAACATCATGTTTCTTAAGAATAATAATTTATTGGATATGAAGAAATTATGAATTTTAATGGGGTTTTGTTCTCTGAGCTGGGTGGTATGGTCTTGGAGATTTCATCATTCTTTTGAACGACATCGTCAGCACAAAGGTCTACCTGAAGTTACTGCTGATGATGATGACGGTCAGAAGAACGACGAAAGCTCCAAGACCAAACCATCCAGCTCAGAGAACAAAACTTCATCAAAATCATTCAACTGAGCTCAAAATCTTCTCCACCATCTCATAATTATGAATTCAATAGAGATTTATTGTTTTCTACAAATTGATCTGTATGTTGTTAACAATTTAAAAGTATGAAATCTTGTAATTAACTATGTGAATGTGAATTTATCAGTTCATCTGTTCAATGTTTACTTTATGTTTAAGAGAATACAATTATTCATATTCATAGAAAAAAGTACAAAAAAACAACTTGACACAAATTATACCCAATTGAAATATTTTTAAAGGCACTTCATTAATATCATTCAGTCGAATTACAAATCATCATCATTTCAATAGACCCCAAATGCCCTGGTAAGACCGAGAGTGCGTAGAGCCGGCTCTCCCTCTCGAAATACTCTCAAGTGGCCACGTACATACAACCACTGACATGGAAGTCCTACTCACTGCCTTCTCGTGATGGGGGTGTTGTTCACGAAATTGACAGGAGGAAGAGCGAATGACCAACACTTTGACCGGGTTGGTGGACACGGAGGATCTACCTAGGGGAGTTGGAAAACCCTCATTCCAAACCAATGGTGTACATGGGTTCCAGTATCGTAAGGAAACAAATGGCGTATGAACCTATTGTTTGCGACCGGCTAACATGTGGCTGCATCTCCTAACGTTGCTCTACTGCCTTGTGGATCAGACCTTTAGGTCA